ATATATATTTAAATATATATAATATTTATATTTAAATATATATATATATTATATATATTGTGGCCCTGCCTATTTTTCACTTTTTGGCTCACCTATTTTCATTATTACAGGATTTGATTAAGGTGATAATTTCATGCACTGTTTCTTCCAACAAATAAATCAATGTTAAAAATCTGTTCTGTGTGCTTGCATGTCATACTGCAAAGTGTCTTTAGAATGGAACTGAGTAGAAACTCAAATTGGAAGAGGGAGCAAACCAGAGTAAAGAGAAAGTATTTAATTTTTAAATTAGGGATTCAAAAACACAGTAAAAATAAGTACGTCATTATTTGCTTGTTTATTAGAATGGGTTCCCCCTGAACCTGAACCTTTTTATCAGCCAACTGGAAATGAATTTGCACCAGAAGTAGTTGGAGAGAATTCTGGAACTGTTGTCTATTTCATAGAACCAGGTATTGGTATACATGGGATGATACTACAGTGCTAAAAAGATGCCTATTAGCTAAAGTCAATGGATGAGAACAGTGCAGGATACATTCTGCAAAAGTGGAAAAAAATCATAATTTTAGTTTTGAAACCATCCATGTATATCTGTTTAGTGTATGTGTATGTCTACAAACATTAGATCTGCACATTAGAATAACCGCTTCGTAGTTCAATGTAATGATAATTAATTGTAACTTTTTATAAATTATTGAATTCATCTTTAATGATTTCCTAGAAGTTCATATACAGTTCTACATGAATTCCTTCACCTGTAGAAAATTAGTCATATAAAATCCTACATTAAATGGCGAGCACAAATAATCTATGCCTTATTATTTGGTTTACATATCGTAACATTTTAAAAATTATCATAGTTTTTTTCATAGTGGTTCTCAGCTTCACAACATCTAGCATAATACATACTTACAAGTCAAATAATGTATCAGCTGAAAGTTATGTTCCATATGCATTGCTTTCTCCTATACTTAAGAAAGGTTATCTTCCTTTATTTTTTAAAACAGGATATACTGATGCTTTAAATGGATGTATCAGTTCTAACAAAAGACTGAATGGAGAAATTGGCAGGGAGGATGATGGAAATTCAAAATAGAATTCAATAGCATAGAGTGAATCTGTTGATAAAATCAGAAGAGAAACTTGGAAATGGGGAATTCAAAATTAAAAAGGCAAAACAGAGAGACAAGAGTTAGCTGTGAATTAGAATCAAGAAGAGAAAGAAAGTAGTATAGATAACAGACTATGGGATGCTAGAAAGGAAAGTAAATTATGCTGGATTATCAATTAGAAGTATGGTTTATCTTTTATCAAAATATGATTTGGCCTAGATATTAAACTCTGTGAATAAATGTAAGTTGATTTACATTCCATCTTGGTAGATTCTAAGATAAGCATTCTCAGTCCATGAACTATGCATTGTTGTATTGTAGTAAGAATGTAAAAGCTGAATCTTACTGCTGAGTATGTATCAACAAATTATTTGGGGAATTTTTAGGAGAACTGTCTGTAGACAGACTGAATTACTTTCGTGTGATTTCTAAGCATCAGGGGCTTGTGGAGGCTCTCTAGAATATCACTCCTATCCTCTCATGCTTCATTAAACATATAAAAATGCTAAGAATGGTACATAATGAGTATTAACTTGCAGAACCAAGTTTTCAGAATTTGCCATCGGAAAGGAAAAGGTAGATGCTATATTTAGGGATGTGAGAGTTCAAAGACAGTGAAAGAAAAGCTGTATCTTTACATATACCTATACCTACCAACCTACCATCATCCTTAGCATTCCTAACAGTGAACTGGAGTACTTGTGTGCCAGTCATTGTGTAAACAAAATGAATATCCCAAAATAAAATGTTTTTTTTTACAAACTCAGGGAGTATGCAGTACATTTAAGTTTCTCAGTTTAAAGTAATAAATCACAAAGTTTGCTATTTTCTTGCATTATGTTAGCAATCAAATGATGTGAAGTGAGGGAAGAAAAAATGTTATGAGTGTAATTTGAGGGAAGAGGGAGAAAGAAAAAAAAATGGATTGGGTGGGACTTGGATTGCTTGAATTTAACTCCCCGCCCCACCTCAGGTTCTTTACCAAACGTACCAACATCCATCAGCCTTTTCTTTCAAATGTAAAAAAAAAGCATAAAGTGGAAAACGACAATAAAAAATGTTTGTTGAAGGCAGAATGATGCACCTCTTCACTATTCTGCTGTTCAACCATAGCCTCTCATTGTTGCTTTAAATTTGAATAATTTGTTTGGGGACTGTTACACACATTGCCTTGCATATGCTATCTAATTTAGTTCTTAGTCATAATCGAGGAAACTTAGAGGAGTTCTGTATAGTATTCCTGTATATTTTTAATTTTGCCCAGTTTTTAGAAAGTAGCAGAACTGAAGTACAAACTGAAATCACCTGCAGTCAATTTTAATTGCTATTTTTCCATGGGAGATTAGTGTTTGTCAGTAATTTTAATAATGGATTCTGCAGAACTGATACACAGATCTAGTTGCTGAGACCAAGATCTATTATTCTTTGTTGACAGCCATTCCTCTTCTTCTGCAGCAACTACAGGTACCTGTTTTACCGGTTCACGAGTTGGAGGAGCAAGGGAACCTGTCACGTCAGCTGCAGTCAGCTTAAAAGATCCAGAAGATACTGTACTGTTATTTGAATCACGCTTTGAAAGTGGGAATCTCCAGAAAGCAATCAGGGTGTGAGTAAGAAGAGTTGGGCAGGAAACTGTGTGAGACCAGAAAAGGGGAACATTTTTTTAATGAAGGGCTAGGATAATTAGTTGTTAGGCATTTAGTGTGCTCTTGTGTTAATATTCAGTGCTAAAATTATTAATATTATTTTTACAAATCAGGTGCCTGTTAGAGATGCTTCACATTTCAGATGTGCTTTATTTCATCATCACTTTTAATGTAAATTGGTATATAACTAATTATTCCAGATATTTTAATTTATGCAGTTCTCTGCACAAATGTGAGGGACCTGATTAACTCTTTCATGACACTTTAAAACAATTCTTACACCTCCTAAAGCTAAATGAGTTCCTAGCAAATTTTTACTATGAAATAACCTTACTTCTCAGAACTCATTTTCCATTTATAATCCTTCCATGTTTTCTATAAAAAAAACTGTTAAAGGGGGAAAGGTGAACAAGCTGCATAATATGTTTTGATTAATTATGCTCGGAGCTTCTTACCTAGTCTGAAAGCACCCTAACAACTTTCCATGACATAACTTGCTCTTTAAGGTTCACAAGATTCCTTGTTTTGCAAGTTTGTTATACCAATCCTGTAGAATGTTCTTTAGTATATGCATTGTTTATATATTCAGCATGTAATTTTATGCCCAGCATCCATAACTAGTTTGCTGAGTTCCCAACATTTTTACTGAAGTGTATCTGAAGATATGTTACATTTTTATACTGAGTACTTACTAATAAAATTAATGTAGTGAGTATAAGGATGAAAGCTGTAGTATATTGAGAAGTTTACTGTTCTTGGATGCTTTGTTGATGCAACAGAAGCAACATTTCATAGGCAGCAGTATTAACAGAAGGTATTAGAGATGCATTTTCCCCTCAGTAAATTGTGTTTGAGTAAATTGAAATGGCACATCAAAATTATGTTTTTAGTTGCAGTAGCCTTAGTTCTCCCCATTACACCATGTATGCGCGGACCTTTTTTTTCCTCAATAAGACTCCAGTTCAGCCATCCTTGCAACAAGCTCCACTTGATATTGTCTTGATTTGCTTATTATTGCCAAGTTAGCATCTTGGTAATATCATATAATGTTATGTCATTATACTAATATATTTACAAATATGATTTCTAGTGTTAAGTATCCCTGGTTGAAGCAAAGTGTTAGTCATTTCTAATGAATTGTAACAGACTACAGGGCCAGACCCCTTCATGGATCACTGCCTTGTCGTGGCGAAGGGGCTTGCGTAACTCAGTGAA